GAGGGCTATTGTGCCGTTCCCAGGAGTCCACCCAGGGTAGAGCCCTGGAGACCCAGCAACAAAGCAAGCAGGGGACTCTGTCTGCTTGCAGGGAGAAGATGTAGGCATAAAGCCATGCATGTCAAAATGCAACAGTTTGGATTGAGATATGCACACAGGAGAATCAAGGGAGCACAGAAGGGAGAAGGGAAGGGTCACTTGTCCCTGAAAAAACTGAGGTTTCACAAAGGAGGGAAAATTGGAGCTGAGGAGCCCTGTCTCTGTGACACCCCATACTGCCCACCTCCCACCACTGGGCCCACTACACTTCTCTATAACCAGTGGCTCCTATATCTGTCTCCACGCAGCACGTGAGCCTCTCAAAGGCAGTGGCAATAGGCATTCTCCACGGCTCACCCTTAACTGCCTGCAAGTATCTGCTGACAAGGCACAGAGTCTACTTCAGGTTATTAAACCATAGCAGCCTGCCCTTCTGGAGCACGTACATGACCTGCTATTGTGCTGTGTGCTTTGCATGCATGACCTCATCTCTCTGCACAGAAATCCCCAAAGGCAGATCCTATTATCATCATCAGTTTTACAGACAAGGAAATTGAGATGCCAAGATTAGGTAAACTGTCCCAAGTCACACAGCCAGTAGGTGACAGAGATGGACTTTGAATCATGGGCTGAATGGAAAATCAGTTCTCAGTTACCAGCAAACAAATCCCTTTCCTTTCTCTTTCAGTTCTTGTCTTTGCATCCACATACATGGACTTCCCTTTAACCTATTGTTTACTGGGACCAGAGCTATTTTATTCCTAGAGAAGAAAAAGCGATGTCTCTTCTAAACAATGGTAACCAGTACTGAGTAAACACCATGGGGATGAGGATATAAGACTGTGTCTACACTATCAATTAAAAACATTCCTTTGGGGGGGGGGGTGGAGAGAGGAAAGGTGAATGGAGGGCCTTGTACTTGGTTGGCTGCCTTGCTTGCTTAATTAACTACAGCTCTACCACTTAACTATGCCTCCAGCCTGGATATTTGCTGTTATTTTTGAGACAGTCTCACAAACTTTTCTGCCTGGGCTGGCTTTGAACCATGACCCTTAGATCTCAGCCTCCTGAATAGGAAGAATTACAGTCATGAGCTACTACTGCCCAGCAGAAACATTTCTTACTGAAGTACGTGCCCTAATTAGAATAGTGTCCAATGTTGAAACAATTTTCAAAATGGATTAAGTGAATCAATGAAGAGATCAAGAGTACATATGGAACGTAAGAGGAAGACTATAAGACAAACATGAAGTTGGTAATAAGGTGAAAAAACTGGGAACCAACAGCTTGAGGCAAGAAAGCCATAGTACAATCGGCACCCACCCATGCCTTAAAAATAATACACGTGTGATTTGTTTTTACTTCTTTAAAAAATTGAATAAAATACAATTTAAAGAATCCATTTATTATGAGGCCTTTTCTAAATGCTCACATGTGTGTGACTATGACTGTGACAACTATGTATGCTTGTGAACAAAAACTAGAGGGTCCTTATGTGTGGTAAAATAGGACTGCAGAGCAACTTCTGTCTCTCACATTTCACTGCACTAATGTAGTGGTATTTTTATGCGGTGAATTAAAAAGCATATTGAAGATAGTCACAATATTCATAATGCAGCAGGGACAATTTGGCACCCTCCTTTTTTATATACTGCAGTTTGAACTAGGGGCCTTGAGCTTGCTAGGTAGATACTCTAGCATTTGGGCCACAACTCCAGCCCAACACATCTTTTTGTTTTGTTTTTGTGATGCTTGGAATCAAACCCAGAGCATTATACATTCTGAGCAAGTACTCTACTACTGAGATATATCAGCCCGTGGCTGATTAGTGAATTGGTTGGTTGTTTGGTTTGAAGATAAGATCTCATATTATAGCCGAGGCTGGCCTAGAACTCACAACCCTCCTGCCTCAGACTTCAGAGCACTAGAATTTTGAGAATATACAGCATACCCAGCCTTATCAGCCTTCTAGTGAAAATATCTGGTCCTTCAACAAGTGTTTAATGAGCACATATGATGTACCAGGAAGATGCAAGACACACTTTTTGGCAGTTCTGGGGCTTGAACTCAGGGCCTGGGCACTGTCTCTGAGCTTCTTTTGCTCAGGGTTAGTATACTACCACTTGAGACACAGCACCACTTCCAGCCTTTTCTGTTTATGTGGTGCTGAGGAATCAAACTCAGAGCTAGCACTCTACCACTAAGCCACATTCCCAGTCCAAGACATATTTTTTAACGAGAGACACAGCACCACTTCCAGCCTTTTCTGTTTATGTGGTGCTGAGGAATCAAACTCAGAGCTAGCACTCTACCACTAAGCCACATTCCCAGTCCAAGACATATTTTTTAACGAGAAACTACATGAAAGATTTTCATCCTCCTGCTTTTCAGGAAGAGGTGACAGCATACAAATCAGAAACCAGAATGAGAAGAACTCCTGAGACTTGTTTGAAGTTACATGGGAAGCAGAGGTCTCAGAATCCCCAGTCCTGCTCTCTTTACATGCTACCTGGTGTTGTGAGTAGCTAAAATTGTGCAGGGACAGGGAAAGAAAAGACCCCTAATATTGAGTGCTAAATAGATGGGATGTTTTCAAATATCTTCTCTCACTTACTCTTCATAATAACCCAAGGTGGCTGTGGTTATCCTTGTTTTACCAATAAGGAAATCAAAGATCTGAGAACCTAAGAAATCTTGCAGAGTCACACATCAGGACCTGATTGGAGGCTTTCATGCAGACATGACTGACTAAAACATTAAGAGCTCTTACCCTTTGTGCTGAAAGTAAACTCCCATTTTAAAAAAATAGACTGGGGACATGTCACAGAAGGACCAGGGGCTGATATGTTTCTATTAATGCAGTTTTTCTCTAGACTTTGAATGTTGTCATACAATAATAAGAATTTTTTTTAAAAACCAAGCAACTCATTATTAGCATGTGCTCTAATTCTTACCTGCCACCACATTTAGACCTTGTTATGGTCACTGAGGACAGTGGTTTCTAAGAGTCATTCACATAGTTTCTGAGAAGACAGAGTGGGACAACTCATACATGTTGCTTCAAAACCCCTGGCACCTGCAACACTAGCACTGGCCCCAGTAAGGGCCCATCTCTGAGATGCCATCCTCACAATTCCACTGGGTTAACATCACTCCAGTGGTAGTGAGAAATGCCAGCATTCTGCTGTTGGTCCCCCAAAGTCCCATGTTCCTACAGTGAAGAAAGATACAGGCCAGCAGAGAAGCTTCTGCCATATTCTCTTCTGTCCACACAATGCAAAAAGAAGCAATGCAGGGAAGTCAGATCTGTCAACCTGCTACCGACCTGACAATGGCACCACAAAGTCAGCCACATGGGTAGAGGACATTGCTCTGGGGCACAAGGGAATCCTGGCGTCTCTCTACCTACCCTCTGCCACCACAGGAACCTAATGAAGATCTGCCATGCTTTTCTTTTTGGTGACTTCCTTCTGGAATGTGGTAGAATGAGGTCATGCTTGGATGGGGGTAGAGGAATTTCACAGGGCTCCACAGCCTCCAGTTCCGAGTCCTCACTGGGGTTGGGGTGTAAAGGTCAGCAAACAACAAAACTTTCCTTCACTTTCCATTTGCCATTGATCCCTATGTTGCACGAAAGGAGAAGCAGTCATCATCCAAAATACCACTAGTCTTTTCTTTTTTTGGGCTGGGGGCGGGGGATGGGGGGGTGGAAGGAGAGGCTCCTTGCCACAAACCTCATCCCAACTCTTAACAAGAAAGTGGCCTGATCTTTCCTGTTGACAAATAACCCTGTTCTCTTTAGACTCCCTGGTCGTGAATCCAGTCCATCCATGTTACAAAGAGATATAACTTTACCCAACAATTTGTTCAGGAGTACTATTCATCCAATCTCTGAAACACGCAGGCAGTCACTACGATGCTCATTATTCAAAGGGATAAACAAAGCTCAAAAAGCCGAAAGACCTCCAGACAACAGAGGCAAAAGCTTCTGAAATCTCATCCCTCTACTTTCTCCTAACCTGGCTGCCATTTCAGTCTTTTTGATGCTAGCACTGCAAACGTTTGCAGCAGCATCTGGTACCAGGGGCCAATAATCCACACACGCTCAAGCACCACCCAAACTACTCTTTGAGAAACACACGTTTCTTAAAAGCCAGACATCCAATGAAAACCACCCACCCCTCAATCTGGGCATGTCTTTCTAACAGTAACAGGAAAAAACACACAGCGCGCCCCACTTAGGGCATGGAACAGCATAAGGGAAGCAGCCGACCTAGTAACTAGAGCTGCTGAGCTCCAAGTCCGGCTCAGCACAGGCAAAGGCAGGTCTGCAACTTCCCTTCAGTGGCAACCCTACATATCTCCAGAATCTGCCAAGAGCCCAAAGTTCCCCTTCCCACCCAAGTCCCCTGGAGAGCAAAGAAAGAGGCCTTCTCTTCTCCAGGGACAACTAACCCTACCCGGCTCCTCACCTGTGGCCCTGCTTCCGGACCGGCCACCACTTGGGAGTCCCGCCCTTCCACCACCTTAGCCCCGCCCCTGGCACCTGTGGTTTTCCCAGACCCTGCCAGCTTTGGCTTCACCTCGAAGCCCCCTCCCATTGTCAAATCCGCTGTCACCCTAGGCCCCGCCCCCCGCCCCTGCAGCCCCCTTGGCCCCGCCCAACTGCCTCCTCCAGCCCCGCCCCTTGCACCTGCGCCCTATTCCCGCTGCCACCCCCACACCCACGGTCCCTCACGCCTCCCGCTACCCCCGGGGCCAGGGTACCTCAGGCTCCCCGCCCAGACCCGCTCCACAACCCGACCAAAAGACCCCCACCCCGGTCCCGCCTCCTGCACCGAGGCCCCGCCCCCTGGGCCCCAGCGGCCCTCCGGACCCCGCCTCCCGCACCTGCAGCTCCCTCCGGCCGGCCCTCAGGGCCCCGCCCCACCCCGCCCCGCCCCGCCGGCCGCTCCTCTCACCGCTGTTCTCGCCACCGCCGCAGTCCCGGCCGGTCACCTTGACGCGGGCCGCAGTGGCTGCCGCCGCCTCCTCATGGCCCTGGGAGCGGCCCAGAGGCAGCGGCGCCTTCGCTCGGAGGCCGAGGCTGGGCAGAGCCGGGCCGGGGCCGGGCCGGGCGCAGCTGGAGCGCGGGCCGACGCGGGAGCCGAGTCAGTGCCCAGCCGCAGTAGGAACCGTCCGCTCCCGGCCTGAGCGGCGGACGGCACAGCCAATCACTGTGCGGCATCAGATCAACCCCCCCCAACCAGCTCGTCGCAGGGGCGGAGACACGCAAATCGACTGGTTTGGTCGCGCCAGTGCGCAGCCGCTGCGGCCGCGGTCCTCTCTGGCCTCGGCCTTTGCGCTCGGCTGCGGACGCCTGTTCAACCTGCAGGGATGCTCTGCTGACCGCACTGGAGACTCCGCGACCCGCCACGCCCATCCTGTCCGGAAGTAGCCATGCATCCCATTCCCTACACATTCTTCCAGGCCTCAACCAATTTCCCCTTAAATCCCTACCTAGGATTTATTGTTTTCAAGAACAGCAACAGCAACAACAAAAAAAGATTTTGTGAGCGAGACATTACGACTTCTTGCAGGTAAGCATAGACTGTCAAAGCCAAAAGACATCTCGGAGATCCTTGAGTCCAACCCGTTTGTTGTACAGCTTGGCTAAATTAGGCCTAACAAGGTGAAGGATCTTGCCTAACCACGCAAGTGCAAAGCTGGGAAAGGACCTGGATTCTGTCCCCCTACTCCCAAATCCTTCCCTCTGTGCCAGACACGACCTGATAAACACAGAGATTAACTCGCTCACCCAAAGATACAGAAATCATCAATTAGAAACCATTGAAGTCAGAGCTGTTCTGATTCCCTCAGAAAGGTCAAATGTGTCCAGGGTATGTAGACAAGTCCAATGTGACAATTTTTTTTTTGTCGGTCTGAACTGGGTCTGGGCACTGTCCCTCAGCAATTCAGCTCAAGGCTAAAGATCTACCACTTGAGCCACAGTGCCACTTCTGGCTTGTTTCTGCTTCTGTGGTGCTGAGGAATAGAACCCAGGGCCTCATGCATGCGAGCCAAGCACTCTACCACTGTGCCAACTTCCCAGCCCATCCCATGTGACAATTTTAAAGTTCATTGCCCAATAACATTAGAGTATGGAAAAGTTAGGTTACCATGCTTCCCAAAACTGGTAGAAGAAACAAACAAAAGGTAAAAATGAAGCTTTTTCTGAGTCTTTGGGGGGGACCCTTGAAGGGCGCCTTCTGCTGTTTGGTATTGAGAAAACAGTAGTCACTGGAGAATGTTCTTTATTTTACTTAAAGAGAGCAAGAGATGCAAATACAATGGTTCTGCTCATAGACTCTAGTTACAGGGTGAAAGCTGAGAGCTAAAGCTGGCAAGACAGGCTGCCTGAATCCAAACCCTAGGTCTGAAGCAGCAAGCTCTGTATACTTGAGGTAGCTACTTCTCTGTGCCTCTGTTTCTTTGTTGAAAATGAAATGTAATAATAAAAAAAAAACTCCCTCTACAGCTATTAGGAAGATGAAATGAGACAATATATGGAGAGGACCTGACACCTGCCAGGGGCTCAATAACCAAGAGATACTATTATATTTGTCTGTAGGGCTTCTGCAAGCACAGATGCAACAGATAATTCCCCCACCCTGGTTCTGCCCCTACCTCTTCTCTTGATTGCCTGGATGGTAACCAGGGTTAAGTTCTAGAATTACTTTGCTGAGAATACACTGGGCCAGCCAAAGGAGGGATGGAATTGCAAGAATTAGCTGGTATGTATTAGCAGAGGCCCTTGGATTTTCAGGGTGCTTGACCATATATCTAGGGCAGGATAAATAAGAAGTTGTTGATTTGTGTCTTAGGACATGGGACTTAAAACTTCAGTGAGGATTCTAGCAATTCTAATGGCTCATAAAAATGTAGGGAGAGCAATGTTCAATTCTCAGGGAAATATAAATTCTCTACCCCAGAAGTTAGATGTGAATATACTTTAAAAAACATACATTTGATCATTTTTTACAGATTCTGAAAAGTTTATTTGTAACTTCCAAATGAATATTTGCCGTATTTTGATGATCATTTGTAGACCTGCACAAAATTAGCAAAAATTTGGAAGCTAGGCACAATGGCTCATGCCTGTAATCTTAACTACTCAGAAGATTGAGGTCAGGAGATTGGTGAATCCAAACCAGTCTGAGCTCCACACATACCTCAACAAACAAGCTGGGTATGATTCTATGAATCTGTAGTCTCTAGCCATGCAGGAGGTAGTTGATAGGAGAACTGGATTCCAGGATGGCCCCAAGAGTAGTGAGGAGTAGCGTAGGGACAGCGCCCAAGCCCAGAGTTCAAGCCCTGTGACCGACCAAAAAAAAAAGAATGACTGTGACTAAGGTCCCTGAGTTCTCTTCAGCTCAAGGTGAGCACTCTACCACTTGAGCCACAGCTCACTTCCGGTTTTCTAGTGGTTTATTGGAAGTAAGAGCCTCATGTGGACTTTCTTGCCCAGGCTGGCTTCGAACTGTGATCCTCAGATCTCAGCCTCCTGAGTAGCTAGGATTACAGGCGTGAGCCACCGGCGCCCACCTTACTAAGGTACTTTAGAAGTAGACAGATAGTAGTTTTGGCATAAGTATTGTGAAAAAAGTGAAACTATATTTATTAGAATATTCTTTGCTAGTGAGGGCAAATAACTGTTTCTTTCATGATGAAAATTGTACTGTAATCAATGCCAGGAACTAGAACTTCTCCCTGGGGAGTATTGCCATTTTGACAAGTTAGGCCTTCAGCAGTGGTGAAGAAAATCTATATAATAGATAGCCCATAGTCTCCATCCCTGCCATCATGACCATTTTTGCATGAATCCACTGCAAGAGAAAAAGTCTGTTTCTATCCCCGTAATCTTGGCTGGACTGTGATTTGTTTGATGAGTTGAAGACGATAGAAACAATATGGCGGGGGTCCCAGCCTAGACCTCAAGAAGCCTTGCAGCTTCTAGACTTGCTCTCTCAAAGCTCTTCCACTGCCAAATGGAGGAACCTGGAAAAAAATTATGTGAAATGAAGTAAATCAGGTTCAGAGAAACAAAGGGCCCATATATGGAAGTTAGATCTAAATTATGAGCATATATGAAAACATACAGAGTCATATGCACATATACACAAACTGACTATGCAGGAGAGAATTCCAATGGTGTAACTCCTTTGATCAACTTACTTATAGTTTAACAAATTGAAAACCAAGATGCTAAAGCATGCTTGGGAAGGACAGGGTGTTAGGGGGAGATAGAGCAGACAAATGGAGAAAGGGTAGGCAAATACAGTGACAATATTCAGTGAACATATCTGAAAATGGAACCAGGTAACAAGGGGATCGGTGGGGTTAGGAGAGATGCAGGAGAATGATGGAAGGGGTGATATTGATCATATCTTTAAAACTGTCCTGTTGAATTGAATTGAAACTATCCTATTGAATTGAAACCCCTTTGTACAACTACATAAAGAAAAATTTAAAAACTAAAAAAACTCTTCTTCTGCTTTATGAAGAACCCTAAACTAGTCTGTTAGAGAAACATGGTCCAGTCAACAACCAGTCCCAACTATCACTCATATGAGACCATCACAGATCTAGCCCTAGTTCAACCCCTGGATGGCTGCAGCTACATTAATGATTCCCAGAAAATCCCACAGAAGAACCAATCTGCAGAGCCCAATACAAATTGCTGATCCACTGAATCGTGCAAAAATGAGATCATTACTGTTTAAAACCAATAACTTTGGGAATGGTTACATTGCTATTTGTCACATAGTAACAGATAATCAATTCTATCTTCATGTTCTGGAAGTATTGTGAAAGGCTTATTCACATAGGTTTTCCCAAAGTTCTCTTGTGACTATCATCTAGTCTTTGTCCTTTGAGGGGCTGGGAAGGTGGCTCAGTGGTAGAGTGCTTGCCTTGCATGCATGAGGCCCTGGGTTCGATTCCTCAGCATCACATAAGCAAAAAGAAAAAAAGCCAGAAGTGGCACTGTGGCTCAAGTGGTAGAGCGCTAGCCTTGAGCTGAAGAGCTGAGGGACAGTGCCCAGGCCCAGAGTTCAGGCCCCACGACCGGACCCAAAATAATAATAATAATAATAAATAGTCTTTGTCCTTTGAAATTCCTAACCTCTAGCCAAACCATGAGTCATTGATGATCTAAATATATCTGCACTCTGACCATCTCTTAATCCACACAAAATGAATAACCAAATATTTGGCTCACTAGGAAGATTTCAATTCACACTATCTTTCGGAGACATTCTCTCTCTCTCTCTCTCTCTCTCTCTCTCTCTTTTGCTGGTCCTGGGGCTTGAACTCTGAGCCTGAGTGCTGTCCACTAGCTCTTCAGCTCAAGGCTAGCTCTACCACTGGAGCCACAGCGCCACTTCCGTGGTTTTTTTTTTTTTTTTGTATATGTGGTACTGAGGAATCGAACCCAAGGCTTCATGCATACTAGGCAAGCACTATACCACTAAGCCACATTCCCAGCCATACCCTGAATTTTTCTGTTGCTTCCTGGCCACCATAATGTGAACTGCCGTGCTTTGCCACATACTTCTGCCACAAGAGACTGATATATCTGAAACTATAAGCCAGAGTAAACCCTTCCCTACTTGTTTCTGGTGGGCTTTTTTTTCTTCTTCACAACAGTGAGAAAGTCTGAGGAATACAGTCACCAAGATTCTCAATGAAAATGCAGAGCCAAATACCAGGACTGCCCTATTTGTACCTCATCCCAGGCCAGTCTCCTGTGTTTCAGCTGTCTTGGTCTTTTTCAGCTCCTTATACCTACTAAGATTCTTACAGCTTCAAAACCTTTCTACATGTTGTTCCCTCTGCCTGAAATTCTTGTCCTTTCTCCTCTTCTCCTTTTAGCTAGCCAACTCATCATCAGGTTTCTTCAAGGGTCTACCTTGGGAGGGAGACAGTTTGCTAACTCTGACTTCTGATTTGTCATTCTCTGCAGCAATATTCTCAATGAGAAGACCTTTTAAACTTGAAGTTTCTAAGAGTAGAAGCCCCATCAATGTTCAATGAACTGCGTTCTACTGCCTCCCCGTGGCCACAAGGTCCAAT